CAATGTGCAAAAATCACAAGCATTCCTATACACCAAGAACAGACTAAAGAGAGCCAAATCAAGAAAAAACTGCCATTCACAATTGCTACAAAGAGAATAAAATACCTAGGAATACAACTAACAAGGAATATAAAGGACCTCTTCAAGGAGAACTACAAACTGCTCAACGAAATAAGAGAGGACACAAACAGATGGAGAAACATTCCATGTTCATGGTTAGAAAGAATCAATATCGTGAAAATGGCCATACTGCCCAAAGTAATTTAAAGATTCAACACTATCCCCATCAAGCTACTAATGACCTTCTTCACAGAACTGGAAAAAACTACCTTAAGGTTCACGTGGAACCAAAACAGAGCCCGCACAGCCAAGTCAATTCTAAGCAAAAAGAACAAAGCGGGAGGCATCACACTACTGGACTTCAAACTATAATACAAGGCTACAGTAATCAAAACAGCATGGTACTGGTACCAAAACAGAGATATAGTCCAATGGAACAGAACAGAGGCATCGGAGGCAACACAACATATCTACTATACAATCTTTGATAAACCTGACAAAAACAAGCAATGGGGAAAGAATTCCCTGTTTAATAAATGCTGTTGGGAAAACTGGTTAGCCATGTGCAGAAAGCAGGAACTGGACCCCTTCCTGACACCTTACACTAAAATTAACTCCAGATGGATTAAAGACTTAAACATAAGACCTAACACCATAAAAACCCTAGAAGAAAATCTAGGCAAAACCATTCAGGACATAGGAGTAGGCAAGGACTTCATGAACAAAACACAAAAAGCATTGGCAACAAAAGCCAAAATAGACAAATGCAACCTAATCAAACTCCACAGCTTCTGCAAAGCAAAAGAAACAGTCATTAGAGTGAATTGGCAACCAACAGAATGCGAAAAAATTTTTGCAGTTTACCTATCTGACAAAGGGCTGATATCCAGAATCTACAAAGAACTCAAACAGATTTACAGGAAAAAAACAAACAAGCCCATTCAAAAATGGGCAAAGCATATGTACAGACACTTTACAAAAGAAGACATACATGAGGCCAAGAAACATGAAAAAATGCTCATCATCACTGGTCATTAGAGAGATGCAAATCAAAACTACATTGAGATACCATCTTATGCCAATTAGAATGGCAATCATTAAAAAATCTGGAGACAACAGATGCTGGAGAGGATGTGGTGAAATAGGAACACTTACACTGCTGATGGGAGTGTAAATTAGTTCAACCATTGTGGAAGACAGTGTGGCGGTCCCTCAAGGCCTTAGAAATAGAAATTCCATTTGATGTAGCAATCCCATTACTGGGTATATATCCAAAGGATTATAAATCATTCTACTATAAGGACACATGCACACAAATGTTCATTGCAGCACTGTTTACCATAGCAAAGACCTGGAATCAACCCAAATGCCCATTGATGATAGACTGAACAGGGAAAACGTGGCACATATACATGATGGAATATTATGCAGCAATCAAAAATGATGAGTTTGTGTCCTTTGTAGGGACATGGATGAATCTGGAGAACATCATTCTCAGCAAACTGACACAAGAACAGAAAATAAAATACCACATGTTCTCACTCATAGGCGGGTGTTGAACAATGAGAACAAATGGACACAGGGAGGGGAGCACTACACACTGGGGTCTGTTGGGGGGAATAGGGGAGTGATAGCTGGGGGTGGGGAGTCAGGGACAGATAGCATGGGGAGAAATGCCAGATATAGGTGAAGGGGAGGAAGGCAGCAAATCACACTGCCATGTGTGTACCTATGCAACTATCTTGCATGCTCTTCACATGTACCCCAACACCTAAAATGCAATAAAAAAAAGTTCTCAAAAAAATTTTGCAGCTATAATATCAATGATAATTATTCAAATTAAATATATATATATATATATTACTTAAATTTCTTAGCATTGGTTCCTGTGTATGCTTTCTCTTCCTTTTTTTTTTTTTTTTTGACCTGTTGCCTTTCATTTATTTTCATTTTGGGGAGGCCATTTTCCTTATGTAATGTGACAATTTCCCCACAAATGGTGACCTAATATACTGAAGTACCCAGCCTCCAGCTAGAAGGACATGGAAATAATGGGTAACATATACCTCCAAATTGAATTTCCAATATATAGTCAAATTCAAAAAAGGAACAAAAAAAGATAAAGAATGTAAACAACAATGGAAGAAACCAAAAAAGACAGAAAGACATGTTTCCAGGTATTAAAACTGAAAAGGAATTTAAAGTTTCCCTTAAGCTGTCAGTGACATTTCACACACTCTAGCAGTTCAAGGATATACTGAACTGAAAACCAGGCCTCAGGTGTTTTAATGACTCTCTGACCTGAACTTGTTCCTTGAAAGGTTGGAAAGCTGGAGTTCATATTCCTCCAGGAATCCAGAGGGTTTATAGGATTGTCCAGTGCTTAAAAAAACAAACAAAAAACTAGAAAAATTTCACCTACATCCTCAGGGAAGAGTATAGCTGTATTCTCTGCCCAAATTCTCGGGGAGAGAGAGAGAGAGAGAGAGAGAGAGAGAGAGAGAGAGAGAGAGAGAGAGAGAGAGAGAGAGAGAGAGAGAGAGAGAGAGCGAGCGAGAGAGAGAGACCATAGAACATGAAATCCCGCCAGAGGCGGTGGCTTATACCTGTAATCCCAGCACCAGCACTTTGGGAGGCCGAGGCGGGTGGATCACGAGGTCAAGAGATTGAGACCATCCTGGTCAACATGGTGAAACCCCGTCTCTACTAAAAATACAAAAAATTAGCTGGGCATGGTGGCACGTGCCTGTAATCCCAGCTACTCAGGAGGTTGAGGCAGGAGAATTGCCTGAACCCAGGAGGCGGAGGTTGCAGTGAGCCAAGATGGCGCCATTGCACTCCAGCATGGATAACAAGAGTGAAACTCCATCTCAAAAAAAAAAAAAAAAAAGAAAATGAAATCCCAACGCACGTAGAATCTGTATCAGGTAAAAGAGACAGGAGAGGAATCTGAATTTATTCTCCTAGCATAATTACATGTCCAGATATATATCATAGCAGTTAGTGTATATACTCTGGAGCCAAATCTGTATTAAAATTCTGGCTCTACCATGTACCAGCTGTGTGACCTTGCACAATCCATTTAACTCTTACCTCCTCAGGTTTTTTTACCCCCCAAAAGTGGAGAAATAACAGTATTAACATATATAAGTTTATTATAGGGATTAAATTCATCTATGTAAGTAAAGTACATAGAATAATGATGGAAAATTGTAAAAGTTCAAAAAAATGTTACTTGCTGCTGATACTTCCCTCTCCTCCTCCCTCCTCCTCCTCCCCTTACTATCCTGGTGTGTTAAGGAGAAAACATTAAAAAATCCATAAAGATACATCCAAATTTCAGAATACAAAGAAACAGAGTTAAAAGAAATATTCTTCCCAGAAGATAAACTCATAATCAAAGCCTATCATGAAAACAAATCAGCAGATCAAACAAATGAGACCATTAGAATCTAAGGAGGAAATAACCTTTTCCAAATGTGACTCATACAAAATTCTAAGTAGTATTATTTTTAACATCTTCTCCTTTTTAAATTATTACATGTGTTTCTTTGGAGAACTTTGCTGATTATTGCACTTGGATTTAATTATTCTGTAGTCTAATTTTTCTCATCTGGCCAATAAGTTTTTTCCCATTAGTGACTCATATTAAAGAAGTCTAGATTCATCAGCATGGTGGTTGGACTCTGTTGGCAATTGATTAAGTCAGTGATACTTTTTCTTTCTTCTTTTTCCTTTTGTTTTTTCTGACAAGCTAACCACTTTTTTTCCTTCTCTTTCATTTCCCTCTGTAAGACATACAGGATTTCTCAGAAACAAAGGTCCTCCTCATTTCAATTACTACCACAGTCTGGAGATGGTTTTGGCTGAGTAGCCAAGGTTCTTGGTAAGACTTTTTTCTTTCTGTGTGACCCTCCCTGGGCTGGTTGCAAGTGAAAAAATAAACACAACTAAATGAAACCATATCGTAGAATAATCATTAGGCTGAGCATTTTCTTCCTTGACTAACTTCTCTGTTCTGTTCAGTGATATAACAGGCTTTCCCTTAGTTGGATCGTGATTTCATAACTCCCCCAGCCAAGGTGGAAGAACATAATATGACGGGCTTTCAAATTTCTCTTCACTTTCCACCTTTCCCAATCTAATCACAGATTGGAGGGGTATGTAACATTATCTGGGGATTATAGTAAGAACCTGGGACCTTTCTTGGTTCCATTTTAGCTGTATATTTCTGCCATCATTTTTTGTTTATGGAAATGGACACTTCACTTGGCATTATTGCCAACAGTTTCTAATTCCTTCCTCTCTGAGTAAATTTCGGAAAACTACGGATAGAATGCATTGGTACAACTCCACACAATGACTCAGACATTCTAGGAACATATTTGAATGGATTATGTAGATAACTGCTGTAATGGTTAATACTGTCAACTTGATTGGATTGAAAGATAAAAATATTGATCCTGGGTGTGTTGGTAAGGATGTTGCTGAAGGAGATCAACATTTGAGTCAGTGGGCTGGGAAGGGTAGACCCACCCTTAATCTGGGTGGGCATCATCTAATTAGCTGCCAGCTCAGCCAGAATAAAAAGCAGGCAGAAAAACATAAAAAGGCTAGACGGGCTTAGCCTCACAGCCTGCATCTTTCTCCTGTGCTGGATGCTTCCTGCAATTAAACATGGGACTCCAAGTTCTTTAGCTTTGGGACTTGGACTGGCTTTTTTTGCTCCTCAGCTTGCAGACAGCCTATTGTGGGGCCTTGTGATTATGTGAGTAATACTATTTAATAAACTACACACACACACACACACACACACACACACACACACACACACACACACACATCTCCTATTAGTTCTGTTCGTCCAGAGAACCCCAAAGATATATTTGCAACATTCTTAATTGCAACATCGTTTAAAACAGGAAAACTGAGAAACAACCTAAATATCTTTCCATTTATTCTCAACCATAAAGTTTTGGTACATCCAAAGATGGAAATACTACATACACATTACAAAAAAAAACCAAAAAAACAAACCAACAAAAAACCTGGCTTAAACTGACATAGGTATATAATAGACTAGGAAAGTGTGATGTTCATAGTATGAGGTTAAGTAAGATCATTATATAATCATAGATATATTATTCTGTGTGCATATGATAGAAAATGTATTAGCTAAGCAAAAGGATTTTTCAGTTTAGATTGTATAAATACTATAATTTTTATAGAAAAACAAAAATATTAAATTATATTTTTAAAAATTAAATGAATTGAATTCTCCACTTTGACAATTTTTAAGTGTACAATTCAGTGACATTAATTGCATTCATAAAATTGTGCAACCAGCACCACTGTCTAGTTCTCAAATTTTTTATAAACCCAAAGAGGAATTTCATAACCACTACGTTATAACTTCCATTCTCTCATCCCCCAAGCTGCCAGTAATCTTTAATCTCTTTCTGTCTCAGTGAATGTGCCTAATTTATTAATAGATGTTCCATATGAATATAAGCATACAAAATTTTCCCTTCTGCATCTGATTTATTTCAAGCAAATTTTGTTCTATGTTTTTGCCACAAAAAAATTAAGTGGATTGAGACACTGAGAATTTATGGACAATAAATGTACATTCATTTTATTTGCAACCATTGGTAGTTTTTTGACCCAATCCAACACAATCCTGCATTTTCTGAAGCATTTGCTTCTGTATTCAACCAACTAATATTTCATATTGCTCTGCTGCAAATGCTGCTTGTTGGAAGCATGTGAAAGTCAGCAACTGCATGTCAGCTCTGCTTCCACTAGGTCTATCATCTTACTGCTGCTTCTCACTTTAAGGTGGTTTCTGTGGCAGTAGTCCTCCAGTCACTTTTGGAACAAGACACATTTTTTTTTTAAATTTTTTATTGGATTATAGGTTTTGGGGTACATGAGCAGAGCATGGAAGACAGTTGCGTAGGTACACACATGGCAGTGTGCTTTGCTTTTCTTCTCCCCTTCTGACAAAGGGCTGATATCCAGAATTTACAAAGAACTCAAACAGATTTACAGGAAAAAAACAAACAAGCCCATTCAAAAGTGGGCAAAGGATATGAACAGATACTTTACGAAAGAAGACATATATGAGGCCAACAATCATATGAAAAAATGCTCATCGTCACTGGTCATCAGAGAGATGCAAATCAAAACCACATTGAGATACCATCTCACGCCAGTTAGAATGGCGATCATTAAAAAATCTGGAGACAAGACACATTTTGCATTGAAGTTGTTGCCTGTCTGACGTCCTATCTCCCTAGGTGTTTCACAAGATACTTTTAGGCTGACTTTTTCCATTGGAATTCTGAAACCACAGGTTGTACAAGAAATGTGGTACCAACATCTGCATCCAGTGAGGCCTCACATTGCTTCTACTTGGCAGAGGTGAAGTGGAGCCAGCATGTGCCAAAATAACATGGCAAGAGACATAGAGAGAGGGAGAAAGAGATGCCAGGCTCTTTTTAACTTTCCCCTGAGAACTAACAGAGAGAGAACTCACTCATAACTATAAGGACAGCACAAAGTAATTCATAAGGGGATCCATCCCTATGACCCAAACACCTCCCACTGGGCCCCACCTCCGACACTTGGAATCAAATTTCAACATGACATTCAGAGGGTCAAATATCCAAATGATAGCAGATGGATAATGACTTTTTCTACAGGTCAGAGAATAAAGTTATATGGATCTTACCAAAGACAGAAAGCCATCATTTGATATCTGAACCACTTACCTTAAGACTCTAATAAAGAAGACATCAGAAAAGTCCATCAAAGTTTTATTTCTTTTTTTGTTTGTTTGTTTGTTTGTAGAAAGTGATTTATTTAGAGAGAGAGTGAAAGAGAGAAACATGAGAAGGAGAGAGAAATAAACAGCTAACTCTCACACTGAGTCAGAGAATCCAGAAAGATGGAATCCAGGAGTGGAAAGCAGCTTCCACACTGAGTGGAAAGGAATAGAGAGATGGAGTTTGGAAGGGGAAGACAGGCTTTTACAATGGGAGTGTTCGTGGAAGGGGACTTCAGAGGGGAAATCCAGGATAGAGAAAAACAGCTTCCACGAGCACAAGTATTCGTGGAAGGGGATCCAAACATAGAGTCCCCAAAGTTTTATTTCTAAGAAATAAATTTGCATATAACTCAAATGTAACAACTCTGGTATTACATCAATACAGCTATTATAACAATGCAGCAATTATATAACACAAAAGGATTATAAAGACATGGGAAATGTTTGTGAACTGTGAAGTGAAACGATACAAAAAATTAGTATGCCTACTGATACTACCTTTGAAAGGGGACTCATAAAAATTACATTGCATATAAAAGTTGGCTGAATAAAATATTAACTGTGATACTTTTTTACAGATTATATCTTCTTCCATATAATTTTAATATATACTAAAATTCATGTGTTTATTTTATAATCAGAATATGTCATTATAATTAAATGTTCTGCTGTGCCATTTCATTAGTTTATCAGAGCTTCTTTTAGCGAATGTCACATTAAATTAGAATCTGAGTAAATAATGTTTAAAAATAGCTGATACATTTGAAGTTGAGGCTAAAAAGCTCATATTTTTATTTGTAAAATATGCTCAGTGTTAATTTTATTGATAATAACCAAAAACCACCTAATATTATATGATTTTAAAATTATTTTTAAGCACAAATTAGACACATGTTGGGGATGAATAACATGTCTGATTTTGTTAATTTTGGATACTACTTTTTCCTATATTTCCTTGTTTTCTTCATCCTAAAATTAAAAAAAAAGAAAACTTTAATCATTATTGAATATTTACACTATTGAATGTTTTCTTTTGTTAACTGAAGTAAAAGGAAGCATTCTTGTAGAATTATGGAAGCTAACAATGTAGTATGACCTAAAATGGAATGTTAGGAGGTTCTTCGTTTTAAGGGTCTTTTTGTGGGAGAAGTTTCCGTTGAACTGTTGTATCAATTGTGTCATCAATATTTCCCAGCTCCTGCTCTTTACAGAGTTCTAAGAATACCTAAGTAAGAGAAAATAAAAAAAATACAAAAATGTCAAGGTGTTTCTGAAAGATGGATTCATACAGTGGTTATCTGGATGATGCTCTCTTGTTCAAAGAAAACACACCTGCTCCAATGTAGCCTGAGAGAAGCTGTATTCCTTCAGGTTGAAGGTCTGTTTTACTGCATTTAAAGAGACTGACATTAGTGGCTTATATATTTTTCACCAAGTGTCTGTAAAGTCACAATAGAGACAGTAACTTCAAACTGTTTAGATACTATAAGATATAGGCCAAATAATTACATTTCCTTCAAAGATAAATAAAAGAAGAGTGCTGATATGGCCAATAAAGATAGCCATGCATGAACATATTCAGTTTCCTATAAACTCTCTCTAAAAAGCTCCTTGTGTTCTATTTTAGTAAATAACCTTTTGATTCTTTACATGTATGCTTTGGACTCCAAATCAGTTGTTGAGGATAATTTATTCTATATTTATAAATCTACAGAGAAGTACACTCCTTGCTGGCTCCCTTTCAACAGATCTCACACTTCTACATTCTGCAACAATAGCCATAAATGTACAGTGTCTCTGGAACTAGTTCAGAAGCCCCTCCTCAATCGTGACTTGTTACACCTCACCCCTCTGTGTTTCCCTTTGCTGATATTCAGTCAGTCCTCCTATTGTTGCCTCTGTACATTTGCTCCTCATACTTTGTCTTTTAGAAACATAGAGAACCCAAAAGCTCACCTTGATACTCTTTGGGACAGCGTTCTTACAATTATCCTTCAATCCTATGCACTGGTGTCATGGTAAGAAACAGCCCTGGTACCCCAGTTCAGTCCTGCAGGATGGAATAACCTGACTGATCTGTGGTTGGGCTTCCTTGTCAGCACAGGAAGAATCACGTGGACCAAACCCACATCTAGGACCACCACTTCATTTCCTTTGAGATTGTTAAGACTATTCTGGTAGGGATTTTCCAAGTTTTGATTGATTATTTGATTGTTCTACTTGAAAGTTCATAGTATATATTCTACATGAAAATATGCAACCAATACATAAAGTCTTATTTATATATACCCAAACTTACCTGCCTCTAATTTGAAAAAGGCCCAAGATAGAGGGTGGACATCCTCCACAGGTAACTTATATGCCATTAAGGAGGAATATCTGTCAGGAAGAAGAGTGAGCTTTATCACTAAGTTTCAGTGTGATAACAGTGGGGAGGAATTAATAGGCAAAGTAAAATAATTTTTCAAAGTGTTCTTTAAATAAAAATGTATGATTTGATAGAGCATGAATTGGTATGAAATAACTTATATGTAGTCATAAAAATGTTATAACAACAAAAATCTGTTGCCTCTAATTTTATGTTAAAGATAAATTTTGAGAAATAGCTCTGATCAAGAATCTTTCCCACTCAGCCTGCACTTTCTTATTGTACTATATTTCTTACTCTCAAAAAGCAACCTTTTCGAATGTTTGCATTACTTTTCCCTCTCTCATAGGAGAGGCTGAGATTTAATTTTTAATCTCTCCTATAAGAATTAAAATATGTTGAACTCTCCTGCTAAAAAATAATTCTTCACCTTCAACCGCCTTTCACACTGCACAATCCAATGAACACTCTTCAGTCTTCATTTTCAGACTTCTTAAAAGCATTAAATAAAATCGTACTCATCCTCCTTAAAACAAACATACTCTTTCTCTTTTACCTTCTGAGACAACCACACTTATGATTTTCCTTCTAACTCTCTAGGCCTGCACTGCTTAATAGAGTAACTACTAACTACATGTGGCTATTTAAATTTAAAGTAATTAAAATAAATAAAATTTAAAATTCAGCTCTTTATTCACACTAGCCACATCTGAAGTACTCAGTAGCTATATATGTGTAGTGACTACCATCCTGGATAGCATAGATAGAACATTTTCATTATCACAAAAATTCTACTGGCCAGTGCTGTTCTAGATACGCCTCAGTATTTGTTGGTATGGTTGTGATGGAGGTGTGGTGGTTCTATCCATACAGGAAGATTTATTTTCTTCCTCAATCCCATCTCAAAGCTCAGAGTTCCTGGGTTTCATCAAACCCTCTTGACTTCCTATCTCTCTTCTTGGCCTCAACATTCTCCGATTTTAATGGTCTTCTACGTGGTAAAAATGCCTCATTTTGTTTGTTGCCAGACCAGATCTCAATCACCTCTTCCTTTTCTTGTGAGCCACAGGTCTACATCTCTGTATTTTGGCAGCTCCATTTGGATATCTCTTTACACATAAACTCATGAGCTTTTGTGTCATCCTTCATATCTGTAGAATTCATTCTTGACCTAAGTTCTTTTAATGTGCTGTTTCCTAGAAAGAGTGTCTGTTACTCCCACTCTTCAGCTGATCAAACCCTGCTCAGTCTTAAAGTCCTACCTCAATGTCATATCCTCATTTATTTGCATTTTCATTTGCTTAATACCTTCACATCCAAAAGAGAAGAACTTCGTCTATTTTGTTGACTGTTCAACACACAGCCTGCAGTCAATAATAGATGTCCAATAAATATAACAAATATTATAAACATAAATGAATAGAAGTATATATCAGAAAACTCTGTTCGTCTTTCAATTAAATTCAGCCTCATTCTGCTATTCACAATGGTTTGATTACCATTACTTATAACCCATGTCTGACCATGGGTTCTTTTACAATTTTAAAAGAAACATTGGGAGGATCAAATGATTATTCAATTGAATAATTCTGGATAGAGTAAATCCTTCTCAAGCATGGAAGTCTGTGTTATGGAGCTCTTGATACAATTTATACTCCGCAAAATCCTGTAGGTGAAAGCATTGTTTTCATTGCCTTTTTTTTTTTTTTTTTTTTTTTTTGAGACGGAGTTTCGCTCTTGTTACCCAGGCTGGAGTGCAATGGCGCGATCTCAGCTCACTGCAACCTCCGCCTCCTGGGTTCAGGCAATTCTCCTGCCTCAGCCTCCCAAGTAGCTGGGATTACAGGCACGCGCCACCATGCCCAGCTAATTTTTTGTATATTTAGTAGAGACTGGGTTTCACCATGTTGACCAGGATGGTCTCGATCTCTTGACCTCGTGTTCCACCCACCTCAGCCTCCCAAAGTGCTGGGATTACAGGCTTGAGCCACCACCGCCGGCCCTCATTGTCTATTTTTAAAAATCATTAAAAAGTTGATAATTTAATTTGTCTATACTTTGTTCTTAATCTCCATTCCACCATTTACACACATACATATGAATGTACACACACACACCATTCACCTTTTCTGAGGTCTAAAACACTCACTGAAAATAGCTTTTTAGTTTTTGCAACACATCCTAGCAATCCTCAAACAACTTGTTTTGTGATGAACAAGCCTGCTCCGTCTTTCTCTTCTTGTTTAGACTAGCACAAAACTAAATGATACTAATACTGGAAAACACTTATACTTGTCACTCAAACCAAAAACATCCTTTACCTTTCCTGCCCATCAGCCTGTGGGAAAATACAAAATCTCTATGTGGAGAGGTTCCACCTGAGTAGGTTCTTTCATTTTTTATTTCTAGCAAGTAATCTTTATCAAACTTGTTTTCCAGATGTTGAATGCAACCAATACACCTAATTCAGGGAAGATAAAGAAGGAAAAAATACTTGTCTCTTAATTTCTTCCTCAGTTCTCACTGTAGAGGAAGGTGCCTAATTATACATCAGGGAGGTGAAGAGCATCAGCTGTTCATAGCAAACTGAAACTCTCTCTACAAGAACGTACTAGTCCTGTGCTGGCTCAGGAGAGTCACCTACCTACCTTAGCATTCCTGACACCATCATGACCACATGGTCACACACAGCTGTAGCCTCTGACATGTAATGGGTGGTCAAGAGAGCGCCCCACTCCTTGGTTTTAACAGTAGCCCGAAGTGTCTGCCTAAAAATAAAGTAAGGGGGCCGGGCGCGGTGGCTCAAGCCTGTAATCCCAGCACTTTGGGAGGCCGAGGCGGGTGGATCACGAGGTCAAGAGATCAAGACCGTCCTGGTCAACATGGTGAAACCCCGTCTCTACCAAAAACACAAAAAATTAGCTGGGCATGGTGGCGTGTGCCTGTAATCCCAGCTACTCAGGAGGCTGAGGCAGGAGAATTGCCTGAACCCAGGAGGCGGAGGTTGCAGTGAGCCGAGATCGCGCCATTGCACTCTAGCCTGGGTAACAAGAGCGAAACTCCGTCTCAAAAAAAAAAAATATATAAAAAATAAAAATAAAAAAATAAAGGGATTATTTGCATTTAGAAAGTAATTTGGGAAAATAGATAAATAGAAAAAAGCAGGAAATCTAAAGAGAAAATTTTATGTTAGGATACAAGAAGCTTATATGGTGAAACCCCATCTCTGCAAAAAAGTTAAAAATTAGCCAGGTGGCACATGCCTGTGGTCCCAGCTACTCAGGAGGCTGAGGTGAGTGGATCACTTAAGCCCAGGAGGTTGAGGCTGCAGTGAGCTATGATTGCACCACTGCATTTCAGCCTTGGTGACAGAGCAAGACCCTGTCTCAAGTAATACAATAAAATAAATAAATGAATAATAAATAAATTAGGCTACAAAAGAAAATCTTTGCCATAGAAAAAAAGAATAAAAATTGTGCTACATTACCTAAGGATAGTACCATATTAATAGGCTTCATAAAAAGAAAAGTATTGGAAAATATTGATTAAAATAATTTACTATTGGGGAAGAAAAGTTGGAGTAAAAAATAGAGAAATATCACACTGTATGACTTTCAATAAGTGAAAAATAAAATGGAAAAATAAAGTACAGGGGGAAGAGGAATAAGAGAAGAAAAATCCAATCAAATACAATCAAGAGTCTACTTGGGCCTTAAAATGTTTATTTTTTTCCTTCCAGGAGGAATTTGAATGCTATATTAAATTTCACTGAATTACATAAGAGAGGATGTACATGTCAAAGGTTAAATGGAGCAAAATGTAACAAACAAACATACACCCAAGAAAACAAACTAGATATATTCTATTGACTCTGACACTTAATATTCACTCTGCTTACCGCTTTTGCTGCTGCCCCTTGGGGTCCATCCCGGTGAATGGCTCATCTAGAAGTATCACTGATAGGTTCCTCAGGATGCTCAGCATGAAGCACAGCTTCAATGGGAGGAACAGCCCATGGGCACCCAGCCACGGGTGCACAGAGCAACCCCAAGACTGGCCTATACCTTTCTTGTTATTCCCTCTGATAGAATTTTCACGGGAGCCTTAAGTTGCTCCTGGAGATTGAGAGCTTCCACTAATCTGACAAAAAAAAGTGTGATTATTATTTTTTTTCTAAATTTTTATTGCATTTTAGGTTTGGGGGTACATGTACAGAACATGCAAGACAGTTGCATAGGTACACACATGGCAGTGTGTTTCGCTTCCTTTCTCCCCTTCACCCACATTTGGCATTTCTCCCCAGGCTATGCCTCCCCAGCTCCCCACCCCCACTGGCCCTCCACTTTTTCCCCCAATAGACCCCAGTGTTTAGTACTCACCTCCCAGTGTCCATGTGTTCTCATTTTCCATTACCTGCCTATGAGTGAGAATATGTGGTGTTTCATTTTCTGTTCGTGTCAGTTTGCTGAGAATGATGTTCTCCAGATTCATCCATGTCCCTACAAACGACAGGAATTCATCATTTCTGATTGCTGCATAATATTCCATGGTGTATATGTGCCACATTTTCCCAGTCCAGTCTATCATCGATGGGCATTTGGGTTGGTTCCAGGTCTTTGCTATTGTAAACAGTAGCTGCAATGAACATTCGTGTGCATGTGTCCTTATAGAATGATTTATAGTCCTTTGGATATATACCCAGTAATGGGATTGCTGGGTCAAATGGAATTTCTATTTCTAAGGCCTTGAGGAATTGCCACACTGTCTTCCACAATGGTTGAACTAATTTACACTCCCACCAACAGTGTCAAAGTGTTCCTATTTCTCCACATCCTCTCCAGCATCTGTTGTCTCCACATTTTTTAATGATCGCCATTCTAACTGGCGTGAGATGGTATCTCAATGTGGTTTTGATTTGCATCTCTCTAATGACCAGTGATGATGAGCATTTTTTCCATATGTTTGTTGGCCTCATATATGTCTTCTTTTGTAAAGTGTCTGTTCATATCCTTTGCCCATTTTTGAATGGGCTTGTTTGTTTTTTCCTGTAAATCTGTTTGAGTTCTTTGTAAATTCTGGATATCAGCCCTTTGTCAGATGGGTAGACTGCAAAAATTTTTTCCCATTCTGTTGGTTGCCGATTCACTTTAGTGACTGTTTCTTTGCCGTGCAGAAGCTGTGGAGTTTAATTAGGTCCCATTTGTCTATTTTGGCTTTTGTTGCCAATGCTTTTGGTGTTTTGTTCATGAAGTCCTTGCCTACTCCTATGTCCTGGATGGTTTTGCCTAGATTTTCTTCTAGCGTTTTTATGGTGCCAGGTCTTATGTTTAAGTCTTTAATCCATCTGGAGTTAAATTTAGTGTAAGGCGTCAGGAAGGGGTCCAGTTTCTGCTTTCTGCACATTGCTAGCCAGTTTTCTCAACACCATTTATTAAACAGGGAATCCTTTCCCCATTCCTTGTTTTTGTCAGGTTTATCCAAGATTGTATGGTTGTAGATATGCTGTATTGCCTCCGATGCCTCTGTTCTGTTCCATTGGTCTATATCTCTGTTTTGGTACCAGTACCATGCTGTTTTGATTACTGTAGCCTTGTAGTATAGTTTGAAATCCGGTAGTGTGATGCCCCCCACTGTGTTCTTTTTGCTTAGAATTGACTTGGCTATGCAGGCTCTCTTTTGGTTCCATATGAAGTTCATGGTGGTTTTTTCCAGTTCTGTGAAGAAAGTCAATGGTAGCTTGATGGGGATAGCGTTGATTCTGTAAATTACTTTGGGCAGTATAGCCATTTTCACGATATTGAATCTTTCCTAACCATGAACTTGGAATGTTTCTCCATCTGTGTGTGTCCTCTCTTATTTCGTTGAGCAGTGGTTTGTAGTTTTCCTTGAAGAGGTCCCTTACGTTTTTTGTGAGTTGTATTCCTAGGTATTTAATTCTCTTTGTAGCAATTGTGAATGGCAGTTCATTCTTGATTTGGCTCTCTTTAAGTCTGTTCTTGGTGTATAGGAATGCTTGTGATTTTTGCACATTGATTTCATATCCTGATACTTTGCTGAAGTTGCTTATCAGTTTCAGGAGTTTTTGGGCTGAGGCAATGGGGTCTTCTAGGTATACTATCATGTTGTCTGAAAATAGAGACAATTTGGCTTCCACCTTTCCTATTTGAATACCCTTTCTTTTTCTTGCCTGATTGCTCTGGCTAGAACTTCCAGTACTATATTGAATAGGAGTGGTGAAAGAGGGCATCCTTGTCTAATGCTGGATTTCAAAGGGAATGCTTCCAGTTTTTGCCCATTCAGTATGATATTGGCTGTTGGTTTGTCATAAATAGCTTTTATTACTTTGAGATATGTTCCATCGATACCAAGTTTATTGAGGGTTTTTAGCATAAAGGGCTGTTGAATTTTGCCAAATGCCTTCTCTGCATCAATTGAGATAATCATGTGGTTTTTGTTTTTGGTTCTGTTTGTGTGGTGAATTACATTTATAGACTTGCGTGTGTTGAACCAGCCTTGCATCCCCGGGATGAATCCTACTTGATCATGATGGATAAGTTTTCCATCAAAACAGTGTGATTATACCTGAAGTGTATAGCAAATGGACCTATCTGAAATAACTACAGGAAACCCTTAGCACTATTATTCTAGATAGTAAATTTTAGCTTCCTTAATATGTTCCTAAATCTTATGATTTGGTTCTTATTCAGGTATTTCAAACATTTTATTTGCATGAAAATTTAAAGACATTGTTTATGATCTCCTTTTTTTAGATAATAAAGAGATTACATATTTTTCCCTTCCTTCAGGTACAAATTGTGACTTCTCTCTGTACCATAAAATACTAAGAGCAGCATCTTTTTTGCCCAGTCCTTTCACAGCTGCATACAACTCCAGGTGCTCTTTCATTGTAAGCTCATGCCGCAGTGAGTTCTCCTGAGGCTTGAGGCTGTTGTCACACTGTTGCATTGCTGATGCTCTGCTCCCTTGTAACACCACCTAGGCAGGACAATGAATACCAGATCCACCTTTGGTTTTTGCTTCAATCTGCTCTACTAAAAGAGATTAAAGTGGCCATTAAGCTACAATATTTTTTGAATATTCAAGATAAATTTTATAAATTCTTTCATCTATTTTTTGATTTACTGATAGGAATTATAGAAGGATGTCATCAATATTTAAAACAAAATTTCCTTCACATGTCACATACCATTCCTGCAGTTGGCTTTGTGCACCCAGTGATCATTTTAATGGAACTACTTTTACCAGCTCCATTGTGGCCTCATTATCCTAAAATTTCACCTGGAAGAAAGAGTCACCATCAATATTTGAATTTTCAATGCTGACTAATCTAAAATTGCTTGGTTGGTTCCATAACATTTGGAAACGAAATGACTTTTTTTCAGAGACAGAATCTTGCCCTGTCACCTATGCTAGAGTGCAGTGGTGTAATCATTGCTTATTGCAGCCTCGATCTCCTGGGCTCAAGCCATCTTCCAGCATCAGTCTCTCAAGTAGCTGGGACTAAATGCATGCACCACCACACCCAACTAATTTAAAAAATTTTTATAGAGATGGAGTCTTGCTATGTTGCCCAGGCTGGTCTCAAACTCCTGGCTTCAAGCACTCCTCCCACTTCAGCCTCCCAAAGCACTAGGGTTAGAGGCATGACCCACCATGGCCAGCCCAAAGTAACATTTCTAAAACAAAAGCTTAGTTAGCACCTTGAAAACTCCTGTATTACAACATTAATACAGAGAATTTGGGTCTTGCCATTTGAATTGGGACATGATTTTGAAGTAGAAAAGACTTATCTGCTGACATGCGAAGAAGTTTCATAATTACATATTAACCAGGAAATATGAACAGTTTCAAAGAATAAAAATTTGTCTCCTTCATAGTCTTAAATCTAGAGGATAAGGAACATTACAACAATAGTAATAAAGAGAGCAATTGTTCAAACCTTTTTTAACTCAAAAGGAAACATTTCTGATGGCTATTTTTTTTTTTCTTGCTGAAAAGCAACTTTTCTTTGTTTCATAATATTCCTTGTGTAAACAGCTTGCAGTTATGACTGGTTTCTGGAAAATATGAGAAAGCATGATTTTCCTGTTAAATTTCAGATATTTTACGAATTAATGTTTTATTTTCTATTTCCTAGTCTATAAACCTAACCAAATTTGATGCCAAGCTGAAGAGCTTTAGCCTCTTTTTTCAAATAAAATACCCAAATGTATGTTCATAAATACTAATGAAATTAATTCCTAATTAAATATATTCCCTTTGCATTATGCTAGCATCTATCCTTGCCCTTTCCACTAATTTCATTCCCAGTTTATTCCATATTGATTTCCATGCATTGTAAATTTATTTGCTCTTGTTCATATGCTATTCAGTTATTAATATTACAAGTATACGATAACACAAAATGAAATTGTGACTTGAAAAATGTGGGATTTTGTTAAAATTAATTTTAAAATATCAGAGAACTTGTTGAATTAATCTGATGAATGAGAAGCTGGAAGATTAAGACCTACGGAAAACTGAAGAAGAAAAAAATGAAAGAATGAAGACAGAGTAGTTAGTTTTAAAGAGAATAATTTGAATATTAGCTATAAACAGACATATTAAAAAAACAAAAGCAACTTTTCAAAATAAAAACCAACATTCTATAGGACAAACTAATTATCTAAGAATTTCAGTAAGGGTCTAATCACTGTTGCCCACCTCCTCCAAGTGTGGAGTGGTGAATGCATTTGCTGCTTTGACTCTTTCAGCTTGAACATTTTCATCTTCTTCTTAGGGCTCTTCTGGATTGGGATGAATTTCTCTACTTTGTGGAGAGATTCTACAGAGGAAATAAAATAACATAAAAATGCAATTCTGGTTGTACAACAACTATCAAGAAAACGTAAACCCCTATAATTAAATTATTATCCTTTTTTTAAAAAGACTATAAATGATTAATTTATTAAATACAAGATTCTTCTTGGCAGTAATAATACCTCCAGTAGCAAAGATCCTTGAAATCTTCTTTGACTATATCTTCTCTTTAAAACATTTTATCCTGTCAACTGGCTTTCTTACTTTTTTAAAATCTCTTAAATTTAGACATATGGGTATTTTAGTCTGTCACATCCAGATCATGACCACTTTCCTCATAAAAGATCATCCTAATTGGTTTTATATTGAACCAGTTTTTACTGTACCTTCTACTTAGGGACCCATAATGGCCATAACCAGAAGAAAAGCAAGCTTTGATGCTTAACCACTACTTACAGAGATGTACAGGACAAAAATTTATCTTACCTAAAATCAGAACCTATGACTTAGAAACTAAATATCCCTGCATCCAATCTAATTCTGTTTTCTTTGTCCCAAAACAGCACTCTACAACATGCTTAGCCAAGTGCTGGGCAGTAAATCCATTTTAATAAACTGATGTTAAATATACTGTAATAAAGACTAAATATTTAAGACCACAGCAGGAGGATCACTTGAGGCCAGGGGTTTGAGACCAACCTGAGCAATATGGCAAGATCTTGTCTCTATTTTCAAAAATAAAAATAAATAAAATGAAAATACAGATTTTAAAACATTAAATTTTTAAATTACATTCAGATCTCAATTACTGTTCTCCCAACCTGAAACCCTGTTTCTATTTTCAAAAATAAATATAAATAAGTTAAATAAAATTATAAATTTTAAAAGATTAAATATAAAAAAATATGAATAAATAAAAGACTAAATAGTTAAATTACATTCAGATCTCAATTAATGTTCTCCCAACCTGAAAACTGGGTCTTTACTCATTATTTCATTCCATACTTCATTTCCAGACACCTTATGATAAGAAGGAAAATAAAACTCTGAAGGTATGGCTGAAAGAAAAGAAAAATAATTAGCATTAGTATCACCATGGCATTCACACTCAATGGTCAATATTTGTCCATTTTTTTGTCATAGAAGATTTTATCATTTTCTTATAAATTTGACAAACAGCTTGTAAAATACTTCTCATGTGGAAGAAAGGTTTATTCAAACTGACCTTCCCTCTAAGAAAGAATTAAAAACCTCACACTAATTTTTTTAAAAAAACTTCTTAAAAGCGTAGAAGAGCTAATAAAATGGCATGGACTTTTTCAGCCAAATCTAAGTGAATACAGGAGATAGGCTTAGCCCCAAAGCAAATCTCATCCTAGAGCTATTCTTTATCCTTGAAATATTGAAATTTCCATTTTCATGCCATGTCTAGGAGCAAAAGACAGAAGAGACTGTTGAAGTATAGAGTCGTCCCAAGCAAGGAGTAGATAGGTCACTCTTTCTCTAATAAAGGATGGACCTCAAAGGGTTATGCTTTTAGTGACAGGTGAAAAGAACCCTCAAGATACTGCTAAGATCATTGCCTTGAGTGCTCATCATGGAAAGAGAAAGTGAAGGTGGAAATACAAGCCAGCTTTTATCCAGACTTGGAGCCCAAATTCACATCACTGTTGGTCAGGAAAAAAACCTCAAGCCTAGAATGTGGTTTAACATGGTACAAACTAGTAGTATCCCTGTAAACTTGGCAGAAGCAAACAAAATGGAATAGCTATCCCAGAAATAGACTCTACATGTATGGGCATCTGATATATGGATAGAAGTAGCTCTGAATATCAATGGGAAAGACACAGACTTTTCAATAAACAGTTGTCTCAATTGCTGGGACAACTGGACATCCTTAAAGATAGAAATAAAACAAGCTCACAGGAAAAAAATGAATTTTAGATGATTGAAGACATAAATATGAAAGGGAAATATAAATATTTTAGAAAATAATATAAAATAATAATATCTTCTTGACCTTAGGGAGGGAGAGATTACTTAAACATTACAGAATATAAACTAACATTTATTAATTTTTAATAGTTTTTTAAAAAATAAATTGATCATTCTTAACAGATGCTCATAGGCTTTGAGAAGATTCCAGATTCATTCCTGATAAATACTAGAAACAAAAGACAAAAGCTCTCAGTAACTCAGGAACTGAGGGATTTAGTAAGATAAATAGTTTATTTTAAAAAGTTACTATGATGCTAATGGGTAAGCACTAAGAAAATTCTCAGTAACATCAATAACAATGTAAGGATGCCTGCTTACAACAGTATTAGTTGATAATTTAATTCTTACTATTAAGGTGGTTAAAAGAATAGTTTTTATTGAGTTCATTTATCCCATCATCCAGACTGTCCAAGTATCTCATATACATAAAGCTGAGCTGAAATAAAAACCCATCAAGAGTTAAATGCAAGTTTTTCTATAAATATAAAACTTACACATTAGATATACCCAGATTGTACTTGATGTTCTTTGGGACAACAGTGAGTATTCCATTAATTGAGATAAGAGTTATTTTTTGATGCTAAAGTCTACTGATGACCTGACATCTTTCCTTAGTTATGACCTCTAACACTGTTTATTTTCCAATTCTATGTAATAGGGATTTGCAAGATTCTTTTTAGGGGGAGTGACAAAGTACAGAACTATGAAGTAGACAAGATTTGTCCACAGTTCCCCAAAATTCTCAGTGGTGTTTAGTTTCTGCAGGAAGTACTTAATAGAATCATGTTTTCTTTCCCTTACTTACCAGTCATACACTCCAAAAGCAATTTACTGACACTAAGTAGTATGCAATAAATAAGCCCAATAAAGATTTTGGACATTGATCAACATTTAAATGAAACATTTCTATCCCCTGACAAGATGGATTCACCACAAGACAGCATGTTTTAAACAATGGAAAAGTTCTAGTCCTGTCTCAGAATCCCCTCTGGTATTCATAAACAAAGGTTGGGCTTCCTCCCGTATTTCTGCATAGATTGTCCCTCTTCCCACTAGTATGAATGCTGACCTCAGCAAATTTGACAGCTTTCAATTTTATACAGCTTTGAAATCTTATTTTTAGAACTTATCAGCATTGAATAACTTCAAAATTTTATAAATACATCTATTCCAACAATGAGTAAGGATTTTATTAATGGGCTACAAGGTGAAGATCAGAGACACAGTAGGTAACATTGCTTACCTGGCTCAATAACGTGACATATCCAAGCAAAGTGAAGGAAGGCATTAAAATCATGCACAAAATTGAATTGGGTTTTTCATATTTAGTTGATACCAGAATTGTGGATACACATATTAATATCTAGAAGAAAAAATCCAGAGATATTATAATTTTCTTAGTTATATTTGATATCTTAATATATTTCCTATGAATAACCTGTTTTCCTGGGAGATACTGTCATTTTCAACTTTGGCCTCACAGATAGAAATATTCTTAGGATATCCTCTTTAGTAAGTATCAAACTCCACTGCAGCTAAAACATAGGATTACAATAAGGTCTGATATAAATATCTTAACAATTTTGTATTACCCAGTAGGGATAAACAGCAACAATAAAAGAAGGTGATATAACATTATTCACTTAATTTATTATAACTAATCTTCATATGTTTTCAGTACAAGGATACAGCGAAAAATTAACTGATGATATGACTTGGGAACTTAAAAGACAAAATACACTTTGAGGTTGGTGTTTAATGCCATATCTAAGCAGTCAGAGAAATGTCAGAATTATTAGTCTTGATATCCAAGGTAGGATTATTGAACAGTTTAGAACGTTCCCAGAGGTAAATAATATGAATGTCACTTTAAAGGGCAGCCCATATCGCCACTCAGACTGTTAGTAGTTTACTAAAATGTCTCTCTGGCTCCAGTTCTTCCCCCATTCAAAATTCATATGACATTCCAAAGAGTGTATACAGTTGACCCTTGAACAGCATGAGTTTGAAAAGCATGGGTGCAATTATAAGTGGATTGTTTTCCATAAATATGATAGAAATTTGGGGGAAGATTTGTGACAATTTGAAAACCTCACAGATGAACCACAGGGTCTACCTATACTGAAAAAAAATTAAAGAAAAGTAAGGTATATCATGAATGCATAAAATGTAAGTAGATATTAGTCTATTTTGTCATTTACCACTGTAAATTATAAACAAATCTGTTATAAAAAGTTCAATTGTATCAAAACATGCACAGAAACACTTACATACCATATATGTTGCCATTAGCAGTCAAGAAAAATGTAAACATAAAGATGCATATTTAAATCATGATTGCATAAAATTAACTGTAGAACATGCTGTACCCCTGTAATAATTTTGTAGTCAACTCCTGTTGCTACTGTGAGAAGCTCAAGTTTGCAAATATTCCCTTAAAATGCTGTGTGAGGTTCTTAATCTCAAGCAAATGGCGTATCTCAGAAAAAATGACATCTCATGGTTCTTGCAAATTTTCATTGTGTTTAGTGCAATACTGTAAACTTTCAATAATACAGTACCTATAGGAATAGGTAATATACAGGATCTAGAGGAATTTCCACTAGTGATTCTGGAAGTTCTCCCAAGAAGCAGAGAAAAGTCATGACATTACAAGGAAAAAGCTGAATCGCTTGATATGTACCATAGATTGATACATATATATGTACTATAAGTTACAGTTGCCTGCCATTTCAAAATAAATAAATCCAGTTTAAGGACTACTGTAAAAGAAGAAAAGGATATTTATGCATCTGTCACTGTAGCCATACCAGGAGGCACAAAAACCTTGCACTTTTTGTGAAATACCTTTTTATCTCATGTTGAAGATCCAACTTTTATACCTATAAGCTTGAATATAATTTGATAAAAAGTGAAGTCATTATATAACAACTTAAAGGAAATGCGAAAGTTCTAAAGCTGGAGAATGTAATGCCCTCAAAGGATGCTTTGATAATTTCAGAAAGACGTTTGGCTTAAAACATGTCAAGATAACAGAGAAAGCAGCTTCCGCTAATCAAGATGCAGTAGACAAGCTCCCAGATACTATTAATAAAATTGTTGAAGAGAAAATATATATACCTGAACATGTTTTTAACACAGATGTAAGTTCCCTAATTCTGGGGGGGAAAATGCCACAAAGAACATTGATTAGTAGGAAAGAGAATTAAGTACCAGGATTTAAGGTAGAAAAGGATAGGCTATTTGTGCAAATGCAGTTGGATTGATGATCAGTACTGCCACTATCCATAAAGCTGCTAACATTCACATCTTGAAGGGAAAAGATAAACACCAACTGCCAGTCTTTTTGTTATACAACAAGAAGGCCTAGACAACAAGAGCCCTTTTTCTGGATTGGTTCCATCGATGCTTTGTCCCTAAAGTCAGCAAGCACTTTTAAAGTTCCTTTTAAACTGCCTTTTAAAGTTCTTTTGCTATTGGACAGCACCCGTGGTAACCCAGAACCACATGAGTTCAACACCGACAGCAACAAAGTGGTCTGCTTGCTCCCAAACACTGCATCTCTAATCCAACCTGTAGATTAGTTCAAAAGAACTTTTAAGGCTCATTACACACAATACTCTATGGAAAGGATTGTCAACATTATAGAAGAGAACCCTGATAGAGAGAACATCATGAAAGTCTGGAATGATTCTACCATCGGAGATGCCATCATTGGTACAGAAAGAGCTTTGAAAACCATCAAGCCTGAAACAATAAATTGCTGCTGAAGAAAATGGTATTCAGATGTTGTGCATGACTTCACAGGATTTACAATAGAACGAATCAAGGAAAGAAAAAAGAGATTGTAGATTATGGCAAATAAGGAAGGGTGTGAAGGGTTTCAAGATATGGATCTTGGAGAAATTCAAGAACTAATAGACACCACACCAGAGAAATTAACAGAAGACAATTTTATAGAAAGGAGGGTTTCTACTGCCAGAGGATGAGAAAGATGTGGAAGAAGCAGTGCCAGAAAACGAATTGATGTTAAACAATTTGAAAAAAGGATTCTGATTATTCAAGACTGCTTTTGACTTATTTTATGACATGGAATCTTCTATGATGCAGGCATTGAGACCAAAGCAAACAGCAGAAAAAGGATTGCTACTACATAAAGACATTTTTGGAGAAATAGAAAAGCAAAAAGTGAGACAGAAATCATATTTTTGGAAAGTTATACCAAGTGTGTCTGCCTGTCTCTCCTGCCTCCTTTTCCACCTCTTTCACCTCTGACACCCCTAAGACAGCAAGACCAACTCCTCCTCTGCCTTCTCTTCCTCCTCTCTTTATTCTTGACAACAAGAATGAAAACTGAGAATGATAATCCACCTCTACTTTCAAGAATGAAAGAAAGCAAATATATCTTTCTTATGACTTTCTTAATAACATTTTCTTTTCTCTAGCTTACTTTATTGTGAGAATACAATGTATAATACATATACAAAATATGTGTTAAGGAACTATGTCATCAGTAAGATTTCCGTCAACAATAGGCTATGAGTAGTTAAGTTTTGGAGAGTCAAAAGTTACACACGAATTTTCAATTGCATGGGTTAAGGGGGATTGGTGCCTCTTATTCTAACATTATTTAAGGGTCAAATATATGTTGATTTGAACAGGAATTATTCTCTTTTATATTTCATTGGATATAAGCTCCCTGATTGCAGAAATTTGCTTTGTTCATGGTTATATTTCAAGCAAAGTATCTGGCACACAGGAAAATACAATCAATATGAATGAATGAATAAATATTGGGAAGGGCAAAAAATAAGGAAGATTTCCATTGTTCTGTTTTTATTCACCAAATAATCAAAAAGGATGCATATCAAGAGTACAGTTTATAAAAAACACTTTGTTAAATAGTATTGTAATTACTCTAGTTACAGAAATAAAAGTGGAGGAAGAAAAGGAAGATGATATGGTTTGGCTCTGTGTCCCCAACCAAATCTCATTTTGTAGTTCCCATAATTCCTATGTGTTGAAGGAGGGACCCAGTGGGAGATGATTGAATAAAGTTTGTGGCAGAAGGAAGAATAAATATAGAATGCAGAAGCAGGAACAGGAAGTGATTGATTACTCCTTTCAATGCATTGTTGTTGCTATCATTGCTTCCCCGAAGGAATGGTTAATGGAAGAATTCTTCTTTTTTTTTTTTTTTTTTTTTTTTTTGATGAGTAAAACAATACACATGGGGTAATTACTCTAGTAAGATGAAAAAAAGAAATGGAATGAAGATGAAAGAAGCAAGATGTTCAAAGGTACATTCTTCACTTGCATTGTTCGATTTAGAAAATCTAACTTAATTTTTATATAATACTGAAGATATATTGCTATATATTTTGTTAAAGCAATACCTTTAACAATTACAAAGACTATGGCCACTAAATCTTTGAGGAGATTCTGAAATATACACAAAATTCTTAATCACTGTACTTTTCTAAGGAGATATTATATGAGTCAACTGTCCATACATCAAGTCAATATATAAATGTGTTGGATACCGTGAACTTATATATACAAAACAGATGTTTCTAAAAGCCTAAAATAAAGAAGCAGACAATGTCTGTGAACTGGAAGATTCACTATGTAAAGATACCATTTCTCCCTCAAAGTAATTCATAGATTCAATACAATCCCAATTAATGTAACTTCTTACGGAATTTGACAAGCATATTCTAAAAAGTGCATAAAAATACAAAGAATCAAAAATAGCCAAGACACTTAAAAAAGAACAAAGTGGGAAGATTTGCTGTCTCAAATAAAGCTACCATAATTGAGACAATGTGGTGTTGATGTATAAACAGAAAAACAGATTAATAGAAGAAACCAGAAAGGCCAGAAATAGTCTTAATCAATAACAAAGGTAGCACTGCAAAGCAGTGAGATAATGATATGGACAAGTGGATATATAAATATGATACATATCAAAAAGGCATATAAATAATGTTTCTTCCATATGTACAAGAAATTTTTCTGAAGGAATAAACAATATAAACTAAAATAAACTCAGGGTTTCATCAGCTTATTTTATACACATTGTGTGTATTTCAGAATCCCCTCAAAGATTTTGTGGCCATAGTCTTTGTAATTATTAAAGGTATTGCTTTAACAAACTATATAGCAATATATCTATAGTATTGTATAAAAATTAAGTAAGATTTTCTAAATCTAACAATGCAAGTGAAGACTGTATCTTTGACTATCTTACATCTTTAATCTTTATTCCATTTCCTTTTGTCATCTTACTACACTAATTATCCCATCTATATTGCTTTACTCATCAAAAAAAAAAGAAGAAGAAGTCTTCCATCAACCACTCCTTCTGTGAAGCAATGATGGCAACAACAATGCATTGTAAGGAGTAATCAAACACTTCCTGTTTCTGCTTCTGCATTCTATATTTATTCTTCCATCTGCTACAAACTGTATTTTACATTCACTGCTTTATAAAACTGCAGTCTCAAAAGTCAGTTGTAGACACCTGCATGTAGCAATAAGGTATAACAGATACCCTAAAGGGTCTTACCCATACTGTACAATTAAATTTGGGAAAATTAAAACAAGTGTACCTTAAATATACTGCTAGTTTCAAGGGGGAAAAAAGTGAGGAAATTCTTCAAGGACAAACAGCCCGAAACCCAACTTGGATCGTTAAGTAAATACAAAATCTGCTTGGGCTGAGGACAAATCTCCATATCAGACCATGGATTAGGAAGACATGCTTTGAGTTCTCTTTAAAGTCCTTGCCTGCAAAGACTTTGGAGAGACTAAAATGAAACCCTTTTGATGGAAGTTCCTTGCAAATCCCATATTGAGGCAGGATACTCTAAGTTGGCTTATACAATCTTAGATGGATTTTATAATGCATTTCTCACAAAAATAATTGAAAATTTTTTGAGGATGAAAACATCCCTGATATAGAGTCTTAGGAGTTCCACACTTTAAAGTCAACCAAATATGACCTCCTCTTCCCTACAACAACAAAAAAATACATCAAACATACAAGGCAATAAGCACTAGATGACTTTTGATATGAGAATTATCAAATAACAAGTAGAAATATTATTTCTAATAAAATGTTTAAATAAATCAAATATGAAATATAGAACAATAGCAAGCAACAAAAGATTGTGAGAAATAATCAAGCATATTTTAAATAGAACCAAAAAGAGATTTGGAAAACACAACTGAAATTTTATGTAGTCAATGAGTACAGATAATTGAGATGCAGATGAATTTAAAACAAGTGAATTGGAAGAAACGTCTAAAGCTTTCCCCAGAAGGCAGCAAGTACAAGGACATGGAAAATTTGAATGAAATGTTAACAGATGTACAGAATAGAGTGAAAATCTCAGAGGCAACATTTGAAGTGGTATTGGCTGAGAATTTTCCTAAACTGATGATAGAAATGAATTTGAATGTTCAAAATGAATGTCTCTAGGTTTGGATGTCTATTTATCTTTATTTTTGCACAATTTGTACAAAACAAAGATAAATAGAAGTCCACACCTAGGAACATTCTAACGAAGTATATAAAAAAAATTAAAGTTAAAGGTTCGTCAATGAGAGAGCCTCTACAAAAGATGGCAACTGACTGATAGGAGATATCTGAACAGTAAAACTGTAAGCAATAAGAAATAAGAGAGTGAATTTTCAAAGTGACAAGAGAAAATAATTGTCAACCTAGAAATGCAAATGCAGCTACATTATATTTTAAGAATGGGGTAAAAAATAATTTTTTTAAAAACTAAGAGTTTATAGCTAACTGACCTGCTTAAAAGAATATATAAATGATGCATTTTTGGGAAACAAACAAACAAAAAAAGATGACAGATCTCAAATGGAGGGAAAAAAGACTAAAATCCAAGTATGAATAGTGAACAAATAGATTGATTTAAAATGTACACAAATCTTTTCTAAGTTCTTAAAATGTTAATAAAGATGTTTATTTGAGGATTAAAAAAGAAAACCAAAACATTAGAAAATAGCATGTAAGTAGGGTAAGAAATTGTTAATAATAAAATCCCCAAAATATGGTGTTGGAAGTAATTAGGATATTTATTTACTTTAGGCTTTGTTAAGTTTAGTATTTTAAAAAATTTTCAGGGGTGTTATGGGCTGAATTTTGCCTCCCCAAAACATATATGTTTAAATCTTAACCCCCAGTAGCTCAGAACATGACTATATTTAGAAATAGTCTCTAAATGGGTAATTAAGTTTAAAGGATGCCAGTGAGGGAGTCCCTAACCAAACATGACTATTGTTCTTATAAGAAGGGGAGATTGGGATACAGACACACCCCAAAGGGAAGACCATGAGAACACATAGGGAAGACCCTCTATAAGCCCATTGGAGAGGTCTCAGAAGAAATCAACCCAGCGAATGAATAGCTTGACCTTGGACTTTTGGTCTCTAGAATTGTGAGAAAATAATTCTGTTCCTTAAGCCACACAGTTTGTAGTACTTTATTATAGCAGCCCTAGCAAACTAATATAAAGTAATAAAATATAGCTTATGACTTTCAAACCAGA